GAAATCCTCCTTCTCCTCCTCCTCCTCCTCCTCCTCCTCCTCCTCCTCCTCCTCCTCCTCCTCCTCCTCCCCCCCCCACCCCCGCTGGCCATGCAACCATTCGCGCCGACGCCGTCTGGGATCTCGAGCGATTCTCTTCAAGCATTTCCACACGCGGCACCGCCGGCGCGAAAATCGTGGCGCGGCCGGCCCTCTCGTCTTATGTTGCCCGCATCGCACTTAAGGAGCACATCCCAGAAATAACTTCGAGCACCCAGGACCCGACACGTGAAAACACTTTAGATTCGGAACTTGCTTGGTGCTCGAAATTCTTTCTGGTGGTCGGAGCTAAAGCAGGTTGAAACATCATAACGCTCATCCCCCTTTCCCCCTCCCGTATCCCCCGGGGCACGCCTGGTATCGCCAGAAGATCAAAGGACGGTCTGCAGTTTGGGCCTCCGGCTGCCTTTTATACCCAGAGATCCGAAGCTCCAACACAAATTGGAGCGGCGGGAAATTGGCAATTTTCGGCCTCCGAGGGCCCTCGCCGGGCCTCCGGAGCATAAAAGAACGACTCAGGACGGAAAAGTGGCCACGGGAAGTGGCCCGGCCCCCTGGGGTCCACGCATACAAAAAATTGGAGCGGCCGGAGATCTGGGTACATCGACTATACGCGAGAGTGACCCTGGGTAGTGCGGGATGACGATTACTAAAACATGAGAGAGAACGATTAAAGCATAGTCTTCTGCTATTTCTGCACAGTTTTCTGACTGGAGGAGCACGATGAAAAAAAAAAACATAGTTTTCCAACCCGCGGTCGGTTTCTTCTAATCGTCCTCCCAGGCGCCGCCGCGTGAACACGACCCCCGGCCATCTATTAATCGTCATCCTCCATTAGGCGTGGCCTCTTGTGCGTGGCCTTGGGGGGGGGCCGCGGCGGTGCCGAGCGCGAGACGGCACTGGGCCCTCCGCCCGTCACGCCCCGGCACCGCGCGCGGGCCTCTTGAGAGCAGGCCTGTGCTGACTTTTCGGCCCGATGCAGGGCGTGGGTGAGCAATACCGTCGGGGCGTTGACCTAAGGAACCCGAAATAGGGAACGAGGCCCCTATGTCCCATAAGTGGAACTTCGATTTCCCATCGAGACCCTAAGGAGAACCTGAGGCAAGCTGTGAAACACTTAAGGAACGCGGAGCCCCTCCCCAACCAAAAGGGTTCCTTCTTCAGGGCCCCGGCTGTAAGTCGAGTGAACATTTTCATATTCGGCGTTTCGACATTGGGCGGAAGGGGGGGGAGGGCGGTGGGCCTAGCTCCGGACCTCTGCTTAGCGCGACTGGTTGCAACAGTGCGTCCTATGGAGGAGGCCCTCCCTGCTCACAGAGATCCCGCCGCTCAATTTTTTGTGAGGGCCTAGGGTTGAAACACAAGCGCCAAGAACAGCCAAGGTCTAATCCATGGGGGGAGGGGAGGGGGTGCGAGGGCCCGCGCCGATCGGCAAAACAATTTATGAGAAGACAGTCTGCCTTCCAGCCAGACAGCTCCCCTCTCCCCCCCTCCCCCCGCAGTCACGCCCGTGATCGCCAGTGGATCAAACATAGAGGCCAGAACATCCACCCCGCTAAGAACCACCCCGACACGCGAGGCCTTTCGCAAACGCGCCCAAAGAAGGAATCGACCAGGGCCCCTTGGACAAAAAGCGGTCCCCGGCCGCGGCCCGATCCATGGAGCGCCCCGCGGCCGCGCCGTGCTGCCCCCTCCCCGGCGGCGGCGGCGCGGCCTTGGCCCATGGCCTCCGTGAAGGCGCTGGGCGCCTGCTGGGACTGCGCCACCTCCGTGTCTATGGAGCCTCCGGGGCCGCCGGGGCGGGACGCATGCGGGGCGGGGCGCCAAGGCCGCCTTTCTCTCTCTCGCTGTGTTCGATGTTTTTTTTGTTGGGGGGGGGGTCCTCTCTCCCTCTCGCAACCAAGCAACCAGTCCATCCAGGACTCGGAGGTACGATCTTGAACTCTCCTGTGTTGGGTGAGCCTGGCCCCGTTGAGCGCGCTTCCGTCGAGGGCCCTCCCCCTCGACACCCGGAGCCAAGGACGCAGACGGGAGAAGGCACATCGCGCTGCAGGCGTTGTAACACGCACAGAAATTGGGCACTCTGAGGGCAACAAGGAAAAGAAAAAATACAACCCTCGCCAAAATTAACCTCAAAAATGTCTGACGTGGTCGAACTGCTTGTCGGAAGATCTGGGGCCGAGTATCGATGAGTGCGGGGTACTTGCATGCGCCGCCCCTCCAATGTCGGTTGACGTCAAACTTTCGAGTCAACTTCGGTCACACTATCTTTGCCCTCGCCCCGACATTGAAGGGGCGGCGTGTCGACACTGAGGGGCGCGCCGAAATCGAAATGACGTGCCAGCAACTTTTGAGGTTAATTTTGACGAGGGTAGTAGGATCCCTCCCTCTCTCTCTCTCTCTTTCGCGCCGTCGTGTTCGTCGAAGTCTTGGCATGGGGCTGGCAAGCTCCCCTGCGCACCGCAGCCCGCGTGGGCAGGGCAGAGCGGGAAGGGCCCACAAGAAGCGGCCCAGCCACGGCGCCCCACCCTCGGGCGCTACCCCCCCACGCCCGAGACGACCCAGCGAAGACGGTGCGGAAGCGCACGGCGGCGAGGGGAAACCAAGGGAGGACACTCACCATCCCCCCCCCTCCTCCTCCTCCTCCTCCTCCTCCTCCTCCTCCTCCTCCTCCTCCTCCTCCTCCTCCTCCTCCTCCTCCTCCTCCTCCCCTCCTCCCCCTCCTCCCCTCTCCTCCTCCTCCTCCTCCTCCTCTTCCTCCTCCTTTTGCTCCTCTTCCTCCTCCTCCTCCTCCTGCTCCTCTTCCTCCTCCTTCTCCTCCTCCTCCTCCGACTCCTCCTCCTCCTCCTCACTCCCCCAACGGAAAAACAACATTCACGGATGCGCCGACAGCATCAAGCGTACGGTGCCATGCGGTGGAAGGACCCGTCAGCATCGCATCGGGACATCTGGTTGAATCCGAACGTGCGTCGTAGCGGGCCGCATCGGCACGGACTCGGGCGTCATGCAGGCAGCATCACACCGGTATACCGAGTCGGACTGGGCCGGCCACATTCAATCGATGTTCGAATCGGACCGGCTGGATCGAGACAGGCCCTGGGCTGGGCCCCCCGCGCCGTCGACGTGGTCGTCGTGGCCGTCGTCGCCGCGGTCGGTAGTCGACGTGGCCGTCCACGTCGGCCACGCGTAGCCGCCCACGTGGTCGTCGTCGCCCGGGCGCGGTGGGGGGAGCACCCGAGCAGCGCGACGGGTCGCGGGGGTGCGAAGGGTGCCCCTGGCCCAAGGTGCCCCCCGCTTGTCGCTCAGTCCTGGAGCCCCCTGGGGCCCTGTGGGCCTCGCGAGAGGGGTGCTCTGGAGGCCGTGGGGGCCTCCTTGGAACTCCCGGGAGCACCCTGTGCCAGGGGGGGGGCACTTCCTGGCAGCACCCGAACGCGGGGGCGGACGTCACCCGCTCGCCAGCCCCGCCGCAGCCGCCCCCTGCAGCTCCGCCGGAACCTCCTCAGGGCCCGAACTGAACAGTGTGAGCGTTTTCTGACTCGTCGTTTCGGCATTGGGCGGCAAGTGGGGGGAGGGAAGGGGGGGGTCTGGCTCTGGACCTCTGCTTGATGCGACTGTTTGCAGCAGTGCGCCGTATGGGGGAGACCCCACCTACTTGAAACAGGCGCCCAAAACAGCCAAGGTCTACTCTATGGGGGGGAGGGGGAGGGGGGGGGGGCGAGGGCCCGCGCCGATCGGCGAAACAATGAATAAGAAAACGACGACAAAACGAAGACGGCCTACGAAATCGCCAAAACACCGTGCAGCTCGAGCTCTGACCCCCTGACCCTCCTCCTGCCCCCCTCGGCCCCCTGCGCCTGGTCCCCCCTGGCGCCCTCGCGTCGTGAAGAAGCAGGCGGTGGACGGGAGGCTCTGGCATGTTTCGGCTTCCAGGGGCTGCCTCGTGGCAGTCCACACAAACTTCGGAGGTGCTGAAGGTGCCCCTGGCCCGGGGTGCCCCCAGCTTTTCGCTTCATTTTCGAGCCCCTGGGGCCCTCGGGGCCTCGTGAGGCGTGCTCTGGGAGCCGTGGGGGGCCCTCCTTGGAAATCCTGGGGGCACCTTGGGCCAGGGGCACTTCTAGCAACACCCGCAAAACTGCTCGGGAGGAAGGGTCCCCGGCAAGGGGTCCAGAGCTCTGGGCAGCCACGCTGCGAGCAAAACACGACGTCGGAGGTGGGGGCCTTTCGTCTATTGCCCCTCTTCTCCTGCGCCCTCGCCACCTCCACCAGAGCCGCCGCTCCCACCTCTGCTCTGCCATCCTCAGCCTCCTCCTCCTCCTCCTCCTCCTCCTCCTCCTCCTGCTCCTCGCATTGCCCCTCCTGCTCGTCCTCAGCATCATCGCCACCATCGTCATGCTCTTCATTATTTCCATGACCCGCGCTCATCACCATTAGACGCCCAAGATGTCAGAATGGCTAGTCTTGCCGACGACGGCGTCACCACATCCCCGGACTCCCCCAAAGGGCGCCGCGATTGCACCACATGCTCCAGTGCAGGCCTTTTCCGCACTCTGACATCCCAAGCACGGCCAAAGCCCAACTTCCGGCTACGGCCACATCACTCTGCGAGCCCTTGACGACAGCCCACGGGCACCCACGACAATCAACACGACAGCCCGACTGACATCAGTGCCCCCCCACCCCACACACTTTTCCTCCACGTCACCCACAAGTGAGTCAAGTGAGTAAGATCGGGATCCTTGATGGCTGGCGGGTCACAAGATGTGCTGGGTACCGCAGCTGCTCGGAGAGAGATCCAGGACGCTCTGGGCGCGCTCTGGGACGCCCTGGAGTGGTTCATTGGCCTCCTGGGGCTGCCCGGCCAACTGGAGGCCTCCCGAACGGGGCCAGAGTCGATGGGGTCAGAGGATCGCGCCGCATCGTCGAGTCAGCGGCGAGGCGATGCGGCGCGACCCCCCGACCCCACCTGCGGGTGCGCCGAAGAGGGTAGGAAGAGGAGGAGGAGGAGGAGGAGGAGGAGGCGGATGGAGGAGGGAGGAGGGAGGAGGAGGAGGCGGAGGAGGAGAAGGAGGGGGAGGAGGGGGAGGAGGAACAGGAGGAGGGGGAGAAGGGGGAGGATCAGGGTCAGCCGCAGTGCCCCAGGCACGCGCACGCACCAGGGGGCCCCAGGGAACCCTCTGAGTCCTCGCCCCCCTCTGCGATGCCCCCGGCATCTGCTCGGAGGCTCCGCCCGGGAGGCCTGGGCCAACGCCCACGCCGCAGGCGCACGGAGGGCCTCGCCCGGCGTCTGCGGAGGGGCTCTCTCCGGACCACCGTGAGCCCGGGCCAGGAAGAGCCTCCCCGACCTGGCTCGAGGGAGCGTCCTCAACGCCGGGAGCCCGTCCTGGACCAGGCCGGTCCTTCTCTCAGCGTCTTGGCCGCGGATTCCCACTCCTTGCTTTGCCGATCGGCGCGGGCCCTCGCACCCCCCCCCTCTCCCCTCCCGCCCCCCTGGAGCGGATCTTGGTTGTTTTTTGGCGCCTGTTTCGAGCAGGTGGGGCCGCCCCCATAGGACGCACTGTTGCAAACAGTTGCGTTAAGCAGAGGTCCAGAGCCAGACCCCCCGCCTCCCCCCCCCCCCCTTTCTCCGAATGTCGAAACGCCGAATAAACAATCACTCCCCAAACATCCGGCTGCTCCATTTCTTTGGATGCGTGGGCCCTGGAGGTCCCGACCACTTCCCTGTAGGGTCGGTTCCTCGTCCCGAGTCGTTTCGTTGGACACTCCCAAGGCCCGGCGTGGGCCTCCAGAGGCCGAACACTGCCGAAATCCCGCCTCTGGGTCCTGCGGGCGACCGAGCCCCCGCGACCTCACCTCTGGGAGCCCCGCGGCATCTGAAGCAACCGCCCGCCTGGGGACCAGCGCCGGCGAGAGCCGCGTTGGGCCCTGTTTTGGTGGCGGGGGGGGGGCACACGAGTCCTGTAAGCCTTACCCTCGAACGAGCATTGTTCTCCTTCCCCTCCTGCGTCGGGCCCCCCCCCGTGTGGAGCAGAGCACGTCCTGCTCCTGTCTCCTCTCTCGTCCCGCTCCAGGTGGTCCCCCCCATCCCGGTCTGCGTGTGCCTCTCTGCATCTCTGTCTCTCTTTCCCTCGTTCTCTGTCTCACCCTTGCTGTCCATCTCACTGGACAAATATAATTCGCATGTTTCAGCTAATATCTATATTTACTTATATATATGGATCGAGAGAGAGGTGTGTGAATGTTTGCCAATGCGCAGGTACGTACCGTATTGACACTTCCCTCGCTCCCTCACTGGACCTCGCTCTATATCCCTGGGCTTGGCGCAGATGGCGACCCGCGCAGACCCCCAGAGACTGGACCCGTGCATCCGCGGGTGGGTGCGGCCAGGCGTGCGGCCGCCGCGTTCCTGCGGCCCTTTTTGGAAAAACCCGCACGCGACCTCGACTGCGCCCCCTTTCGAAGGCTGCACAGGAGGTAGGCGTGCTGGGCCGGAGCCCAGCCTTGCCTCCGCCGGCGCGCCGGTGGCGCGTAGCGCCTGGTTACTTAAGAAAACGAATGGGCCGCCGCGGCCGGGCAAGAAGCTGGCCACGGGCAGCCTGGGGGCGGGCGGCCGAAGGCCGCTGGCCAAGCGCCCCCCATGGATGTCGCCCAAACGCCTCCGCTGGGTTCGATGCGAGGCGGATCGGCGAGAAGGAGGTGTCCCTTGAAGGCGGTGGTTTTGGATGGTGGCACGGCAGTCGCTTCGCATGCATCACACCGGAACAGGACAACAAGGGAACGCGAGACAGACAACCTCTGATGCAATACCCAGGGAAGGAGGGGAGGAGGAGGGGAGGGAGGAAGGGGGAGGAGGAGAAGGGAGGAAGGAAAGGGAAGAGGGGAGGGAGGAGGGGAGGGAAACTAGGTGCGTTAGCGTCGCATCTGACGTCCTACCCCTCCCTCCCATCCCTTACCATGGAGTAGATTTCCTATCTATTCGCACCGTCAGGTGTCCAGCATTGCAAAGATCCCGAAAGGGCACGTGGTGGATGGGAAAGCATGGCGTAGAAGAGTACGGCAGCCAATAGCGTGTCAAAGCATGGCGTGGCATTGCGTAATTAAGCATTGCATCGCACAACATAGCAAAGCAAAATATGGCATCGAACAGCGGTGCACAACACACTATCGCATTGCATGCCGTAGTATGGCGCCGGATGACTTGGAGGGTAAATTGCCCGTCCACGAGAGGACTAGAGGACGAGAAGCACCCATTGACGCCATGTGCTATTGATACATTCAGGGGATTGCGGGATTTCTAACAGCCTTCGCACGGAGGGATCACTTTGCGTCGAAGATTGTCTACTCTGCCTGGCGCCGCTGGTCGGTCACCCGTTCGCAATCGAGTAGTCGCCCGTAGGGGGCTAGTTGGCACTTGCCGATCCCCTTCTCATGGCGAGCGCGGGGGGGGCGGCGGCGCACCGCCCC